TTATTGTGTTTATGGGATATTGTAAGTTTAAGTTGTTTATTTTGTCCAGTTTACTTCCTAGTTTTCAAGTAAGATTGATAGCGACTGTCTGTCTTACTAGGCTTTTTCTGGGTAAAAAATGTAAAGTTGGAAATGTTGTCTGAAAATTAAGAGTGGTAGAGGGAGATACTTGACATTGATCTTCAGCCTCCACATGCATGTGTGCATATGTGTGCGCGCTCACATGCGCGCGCGCGCGCACACACACACACTTCAAAAATAATAAATAGGAAGGTTTTATGTAAACTATGGTAATTAACCTGAAATCTCTATAGTCATCTGTGAAGAAGTTACATCTTTAAAATAGTTTTGTATACATGTAACAACAATTGATGAAAAATGAGCCCATGAATTTGAAAGAGAGTAAGGAGTAGGAATATGGGAGGGTTTGGAGGGAGGAAAGAGGAGGAAATGATGTAGGTATATCTCAAAAATAAAAGAAGCAATATAATAAAATAATTAGTTTTTACATCCAAGAATATAGCTTGCTTCTTTGTTATTTGTTGATTTATCTCCTTTTATCTATTCTAGCACATGTGAACTTCAAAGGATAACATTCAGGAGTGGTATTTTTCCACCATATGAGTTCTGGTTACCGGGCTTGTTGGCGAGTGCTTTTACCTGCTGAGCCATTTTGCTGGTTCACCACTTTCTCCTTCAACACATATCCAGGATTTTTTTTCTTTTCCTTATAGCGACTAAGAGTAGTCTGACAGTGAGTGGTGAAAGGGAAGGCCATTAATTCTTTATATATTAAATGGAAAGGTTAACATGTTTTCATTTTATTATACAGTACACGTCTTACCAATGTTTGAAGTAATTTATGCTTATTGTTGAGACATTCGGCAATATAGAAAAGCAAAACAGAGAAGAAAAAAAATCTCAAAATCCACCCGGGATAGCTTAATATATTTCCTTTTGCTTATTTTCAGTTCTTTGTCTGGTTTGTGTTTATGGTTGCACAATTATATATGCTTCTGAAAAATTCAAACAGTATAGAAAAATACAAAGGTACAGAGTAAAAAGGGAAAGAAAAATTTGCCCCGCCTTCAACCCATTTCTTCACAACCCCAGCCCCACTCAAGTAACAAGTACTGATATTCCAGGAGTGAGTTCAAAAGTGTGTTTTTAGATGGGCATGGTGGTACCCTTCTTTAACCCCAGCACTCAGGAGTTTGAGGCCTACAGGTCTATATAGCAAGTTTCAGGGTAGTCAAGGCTGCACAGTGAGATCATGTTTCAAAAGAAAAGCACATATACATATGTGAGACAGAGGCAGAGAGATAGACTACATATATTTTCTTTGTGGTCTAATTGATCATTATTGTTGACTATGCCTTGTTTCTTTGGAAAGAATGTTCATTTTGTGTTTTCACCATCAAAGTACCTATATAGTTATTAAGCCAAGATTATTAATTATGTTCAAATTATTTTCATGTGTAATTATTACTTTTTAAAAATTGATGTATGGATTCACAAGAAAGCTAAGAATCCATTCATTAAATACCTATGTGGTACTATCACATACTAGTTTCTGTTCTGTAGCCTCCAGAGATGCAGACAAATAAAGCCTGCTAGTTGTCTTTGCATTTTCATGCCAGAATGCTTGAGAAAACAACTCACAGAAAGCAAGATTTATTTTTGTTCATGGTTTCAGAAGCTTCAGTTCATGATCAGCTGATGTCATTGTTCTCCATTGTTTGGATCTGGTGGAGCAGTACTGCTCCCCCCTCATGGCAGCTGAGCAGAGAGGGAAAGGGATTAGGGGACAAGATGATAGCACTCACACAGTTGACCTGTTTCTTCCAACTCTGCCCCTCCCACTAATAGTCCCTTCAGATTTGATTTCATCATTAGGCAATCCATTGAAAAGTTAGAGCCCTCATGGTCCAGTCGCCTGCTGAAAGCCCATCAGATGGCAACCAAACCCGAGCCTTCAAGGACTATTTCAGATTCAAAACCATATATAAAAAGAAACAAAAGCCCATGTTTTCTGTGGAAGAAATACCCAGAAGCAATTAACTATTAATGTCTACCATTGCCATATGTGCATATTTTATTCTGCACATTAAAGGTTATTATTTTTAACTTTTGTCAGTATGGTAGAGATCAATTTATGTTCCTCTTTTTATTCTGCATACGTTTTTTTAAGACAGAGTCCTTTTCATTTTTTTTAAATTGAAAGTAAAATATGCAACCTGGAAGATATAACAATCCATTTGTATCTTTTTTCTTTTGCACTTTAAGCCTCGTGTGACTTAACAATAGTGTGGGGTTTGACACATGTAATTTTCCTTTAAAATACCAGTAAAGTCACAAGTACATGTAAGATATAAACACAGTTCATAAAACAAGAAGGCATGAAAGATGCATGAGTGATAATTTCTTGAGAGCCTTAAATAAGCACAACATACAGTGAAGCAAATATATACATTTGAGTTGTTCAGGAGCAGGAGTTAAATCCTGGGACTAACAAGAAGGTAAAAACAGTCCAGTAGCAGGCCATAGATGACTATGAGAAATTACAACACTGGTTCTCTTCCTGTCCTCTCTGACAGAGCTGACTAACACACTGGTTCTCTTCCTGTCCTCTCTGACAGAGCTGACTAACACCCCCTTTGTCCTTCTCTAGGGATTGCTTGTTTAAAATACCTTTTCTCATACAATATATCCTGATTATGGTACTCCCCCACTCCTCAGTTCCTCTCCACCTCCCCTCCCCTCCATATCCACTCCCTTTCTTCTAAGAGATAACAATGAAACATGACAAAATAAAATATAACATAAAGCAAAAACTTTCACATCAAACTTGGACATGGCAACTCAGCAGGAGAAAAAGTCACAAGAGCAGCCAATAGAGTCAGAGATACCCACTTGTTTGTATAGCCTAGCGTCCCATAAAAGTACTAAGCTAATAGACGTAATATATATGTAGAGGAACAGTTGTAGACCCATGCAGGTCCTGTGCTTTCTGCTCTCATCTCTTTGAGCTCACATTTCTCTTTCAGTAACAGAGTACTTTCCCGTATGAAAGAGACTAGATAAGAGCTCCAAGTAGGCACCAGCTTGATTTCTCCATGTTCAATGAGTTGTGCAATGGGGCCCTGCTGTAGCAACACTTTGACTTAGCATAAGCCTGATTTGCTTGGGGATTTCCATGGAACCTCATTGGCCAACAGCTCAATTGAGTGCAACCCAGTCCCTCCATTGGAAGCCTCTCCTAGCTGCAAGAGATAGCTAGTTGAGACTTAATATCCCCCATTAC